GGTTGGAGACCGTGCTTCAACTGGCAAAGCGCATGAAGCTAGGTTGCTGTTTAGGGCTTAGGGTTTAGCATTTATGGCTGCTGTTAAATTACGGAAGCTAAGACGCCACACCACGCTTATACAGTCAAATGTCTATGGTTTCCTTAGTAAACTCGTCGGTTTTTTTTTTTGGATGGTAATAACTTCAATACGAATCCTAGTGCAACCCCTACTTAGCTAAGTTTCCAATCAAGTTTCCTTCTCATGTTCCATTTGCTTTCCCATTATATTCTCCATATTTTTGCAACATCCTTAAACCCCAAGCCCCTAATCCCTACGCCCTAAACCCATAGCTCAATTTGACTTCCTTACCAGCAACCAAGGCAAATTCCGGTTACCAGAATGGTTGAGTTGGGCTCGGCCGAAGAGGAGGCGTCTCCTCTTTTGAAGGCATGCGCACTGACAAAAGCTTCGCAAGAAGGCCTGCTCGTACATCATGGCTTGTTTGGCTAGTAGTGACTGTTGCTGCGCGTTCAACTACAGTAGCGCTGTTGCAGATGGCGCTTGGATGAAACCTCAGACACGCTCCAAACGCTAACCCTAGTCTAGGCCCATGAGCCCGCAATCGGGTTGTTTTTGTCAGCTCGTGGACTTGTATTCTAATCCAAAGCGGTTGTTTGTCATTTGCCATGGCGCAGAAGTCCGGTAATCAAGCACTGGTCGGGCGAAGGGTATAATGCTTACGGTTGATCCCGGGTTTGGCGTTCCAGTGTGTGGGACTTAGGTTTGTTGAGTTTAGAGTACACCTTAAACCCTTAGGGCATGCAGGTTTGGGCTGCCAAGCATCAGCCATGATACATACTGTTGCAAGTAAGGCAACTCCCCCCCAGAAAATAAGCCCCAATACCCAACAACCTACTTCACCCCCCGAATGATTCAATTCAGCGAGCTTTCAGAATCACCCTGTTTAAGGTTTAGGGCTTAGGGGCTCTCTCTCCTGAAGCACCAATAAGATTAAACAAGTAAAGGTTGCCCCGAATCTTAGTTTGAAGGAACCCTTAAGGTGACAGCACGTTCAGGTAGGGAAGCTTTAGTGAGTGTATACAAGGTAAATGTATTTGGGACGACCGTAATAAACTCTTACCCAACAGCCGGAGACCTTTGACCTTCAGTGGCACAAGATATTCGCCATCCAGTGTTTACTCCAGCGAAACCCATCCTCCAGTAAATGCAGATACCAAGTCTCAAATACCCAACTGCCGCATACTCGGACTTTGAACCCTGAACCCAAACCCTCAACTCGGATAGCCCAAACTCAATTGTTGCGTGCTTTAACCCTTCAGTCTACAACTAGGAAAAGACAATTGAATCTACCAGTTGGATGTAAGGATTATTCGCAAAGCATCCATTCTTTCATTCCTTGCTCAGCCTATTCACCTTCATCCGTGACAAATGATGGCAAATTATGTGGAGGGATTTTTTTTCGGTTACCCGGTGTGCCAGGGGCACGTATCGCAATTCATCACATGATACTTGAGCCGCTTGAGCTATGACCGCGCTAGAGGAACATTGATTCCTTTGAATACTGCGTGGCAAGCAGTACCGAGTATTGGCCAGCTTTCTTACGACGAAAGCATTGTAGGACTGGCATAGTTTGACTAGCGAGTTGGGTAGTTCACAACATTAGGGTCCTATTTTGGTATCCATATAAACTTGGTGCCGCAAAATATGTTATCACCCAACGGGCTACCCCCAATTCTGGGAAACCCTAAACCTTTTATCCCCGTATATAGCTCCCCTATTCTTTTTCAGGTATCTAGAGCCATAATATAAGGGGCCCATAACTATGAGAATAATCCTTTTGAGTGTGTCTTAAATCTAACCAATGCTACACATGAGTATTACTGGCCTTTGGTTAGCTGGGAATGAAGGAATGAAAAATTGTGCTTTTGAGGGCTGAGGGTTTACAAGGAATGCTTTAAGGTTTAATGTTTAGGGTTTAGAGTTAGAACGCAAGAAAATGGAAACTACGATAATGGGTTCTGTACGGAGTACTATAACGATCCATTCCTTCACTCCGAGGTAACCACAGTAAGAATTCGTGCATCTGCAAGCAGCGAAGTCGGTTCTGCATGTGCAGAAATGCTGAATTTTGTGCCTGTATGTTGCCTCTCAAGAATTTTTAAATACAGTTGTTTTGGAAGAGTGGAACTATCTAGCGGTGGGCTGAAAACAAAGAAAGGCTGGCAAGATTTAAGACGTGCGCGGTTATGGGTCATGGATCCGCTATATGGAGTGGGTGGAGAACATAATTTGGAAAACTGCATGAGAAAGAATCTACTTTTTCCAGTTCGCTAGTATAAGTAGACAATATCCCAAAAATCAAATACGTCCGATCTTGAAACTGCAAGCCTTGGCGGACAATCCTACAAAGCCCTCGAGTTGAAAAGCCTGCTGAAGGGGCCTGAACAGTTGTGAATATCATGTTCTATCATCCCTGTATTTTTGGAGTAGAATATACAGCCCTACGCTACACATTGTGGGGATAAGCCCCCAACATATTTCCCAGCATCTCAAATCTCTCTTGCAGATATTCGGGCCCCTACATGAACTTTGGGTACTGCCCAACCCGGTAACAGTATACAAGGGGTAATAATGAGGGTTTGAGATCTTCAGATTATACTTCTTATCAAAGGCTACATATAAACACATTATACTTGTTCTCCAACTGTTACTCTTTCTAGAAGGCTATATATAACTATATTATACGTATTCTCCGACTGTTACGGAGTGGGGGCAGTGTCCAAGGTGAACCAATAAATGTGCATGCCATGACCCGCCTCCAAAAGCGTGCTTCCTTACTCCGACGACGAGGTGGCCTGTGGGCTTAGAATGTAGGCCTGGGATCTAGGGTTTTGGGCTTTTAGGTTTTAGGGCTCAGGGTTTAGGGCTTAGGGTTTAGGGCTTAGGGCTTAGGGTTTAGGGCTTTGGGTGTAGGGTTTTGGGCTTATGGCTTCAGATTGTGAATGGGAGCTGCTGAGAGTCAGGGGATGTAGGACCCACTATGTGGATTTGCACGAGGTAAGAGCTGAAACAGGTGCTCTGTTTAGGGTTTAGGGTTTCTGAAAATGTGCCGTTCGTTGTTAATCTCACATCTGGGTTTGGATTGGCTTACTACTACTTCGGAAACTAGCATAGAGCATCCCGTCCACAAGCTCCCACAAATCAGCCCTTTCATCCCAACCGCGCTCCCCACATGAGTCATGACCCGGGAATCCTGAAGAACAACTCCGTGCTTGAGAATCCCGCCTTATCTAGGGTTTAGGGGTTAGGGCCCAAGAATACCCAAGAATACACAAATAGTTCAAAGGCCTAGAAAACTGCCAATATCATGTTGACGTCTATTTGAAACAACCAATATTTTCACCCTAAAAACGGACCTGGGACCACAATATTCGTATTTGTTTAGGTTTCTACAGTACAGTAGACACCTTGAACTGAGGATTCCCATGTCGGGGGCTCCTCATTGCAGCCTCTAGACTTTTTCGGTGGGGGGGGGGTGGTTGTATTGGGGTCCCCTGTCTTATGGAAACTACCCAGGTGTTTTTTCTGGATCCCGAACTTCAGGATTTTTAAGGCGCCTTTTTCCAATTTAGGGTATGTAGACTCCCCGCTATAATCGCGAAAGTACTCACAGTGATTGTATCAGTGATTCTGCCGTATCCCCTTTGTTGTTTGAAGCGTGAGTAGTCTCAGGCAGCTACAGGAGGAGAGTTCCCAAGAGGGAACCTGACACAAGGCCTACATAATTCCCCATGCCTCATACACCCTAGACCACAAGGGCTTAGGGTTTAGGGGTGTATGGTTTAGGGGTTTATGGTTTTGGGGGGCACCTATATAGGGGGACCTATTACAACTTTAGTTTAAAGAATCAGGGCAAGTGCCCACATTGGGGTCACCCTTGATGCCTCTGGACTTGCATATTTCATTTAAGGTCGACAAGGACCTGTAATTGAAACACATCCCTCATACCTCACAGCTATAACCGTTTAATTCCCCAAAGTCATGTAAGCCCCATTTATGGGGAGGCTCAGATAGACCTTAAACTTGAACCTTCAAAAAGTATCCCTAGCTTCCTCAAGCCCTATTCCCCGAAACCCAAGAAGTCCCTCATACAGCCCGAATGTTTTCCATCGTCTCTTCGGGCGCCCCTAGTTTGCATCTGCCCCATTCCCTGTAATCCTTATATCCATTAAAAAAAACCCTTCATCAACACTGAACCCTAACATACCCTAACCTCAAAAACCTCAACTACAGGCCTTGAGCCCTAGCCCCTTTTCCAAAAATCCCTACGGTTTGCTGAAGCGCCCACAGGTCTGTTCCGAGCTGCCACAGGCATGGACGTGGCTTGGAGGGTAGGTCGAGTATTCTCGACATCGACTGAGCAGGCTGAGGACATTGTGGCCTAAAAGCAGCAGACTATGATTTCCTAAGGTTCCCTTTAAAGGGGGCGTTATAGGGGTTATGTAGAGTTTAGGGTTGGGTTTTAGAGCCAGAGACTCTTGCGGAGATGTCTTCTGGTAAGGATTACAGGAGTTGTTGCATTAAGGTTTGTAGGTTCCCTCCAGAGCATGAGAGAGTTTTTGGAAGCTTTAGGGTTTAGAGGTTTTGAGAGTGGGCTTCCGTCGTGGCTTGGTAAGGTTCACAAAAATGACAAAGATTCCAGGGACAATTGCTAAGGCCTACACACTTAGTGAAAACTATTGCGCCGTATGCGGTAAAAATCTCAGGAACAACATTGCTCACTATCAAGGTTTCCATGGCAGAATAACGGGGTTGCCGTGACATCCCAGAGAGTCTAATCGCAATGAAAATAGCCATCACAGCGCCGTAGAAACTCCTCATGTTTTCTGGCTATTAGTAGGCAATGTCAATCCCTATACGATATGTTCCCATATTCCCTGCTAACCCCCAGGAAAACATAGCATTCCCCTAATTTTGCCAAATTTTCTGAGGACCAGATGCGCTTTCAGAGCACCATGAAGGTGAACCATGTAGACATCTTTGTGAGCCATTCCTGGTCAGCCAATGCCTGGTTGAAATATTTGGCCGTATGTGGCTTTTTAAATCTTAGTCTGGCCAAGAAAGCCACGGGTGCAGCTGTTGTTGTTTCATGTCTTTTGGTGCTCCTGCTCCCAAACCTGCCGATGTGGTTGCTTTTCTGCATGATGGTTGATATTCCAGTGCTCATCTTCTTTGTTTTCTTCTTCTACGGGCAGCACTTGACATGTGGACTATGGTGTCCTAGCATGTGGGTGGACAAGCTTTGCGTGGACCAGGGTGATGAGAGCCGGAAAGCAGCAGGTGGGGGATTTTGGGAAACTACCATATAACACCTGTTTCCATTTCATTTTCAATTTCCATTTGATTCTCCATTATTGGGGGTAATATCCCTAAACCCTAAACCCCAGGTCTTGCTGGTTTGCCTACCTTTGTTCAATGTTCTGGCCGCATGCTGGTCCTGTGGGACGAGACTTACTTCGAAAGGCCGCTTGTAATGAGTTTAGGGTTCATTGAGCTTATCTAGGGTTTAGGGTTTAGGGTCAATCGGGGTTATACAGGGGATATATATACGTATATGGGTACAGGAAAATAAGATGGAAACTACTACTTAGGGTTTAGGCCTTAGAAGACTGAGAAATTTCTTGGCATTTGTTGGTCCGATTCCTGGTAGAATTATGAAGAGGAAGGTATAGTACCCCCCACACTGTTGCATCATTAACAAATATTAAACCATCAAGAAAACTAGTTCCCCCATATGGAGACCCATGAAACCATTCAACCAATCAATGGATTGATGGTTTAATGATTTCATGGTCTGACCCCAGTGTTTCGAAACATTATTGTCTCTCGAAGCCTCTGTACCCTGAGCTCTAAGCCCTAAGGACATGAAAAGCCATTAAGCCATTAAACCAATCCTCCTCTTACATGGGCCGAAAACCATTGGCTTAATGGTTTAAGGGTCTAACCCAAGTGTTTGGAAACACCTTCCTGATTCGAAACTTCCCCATACACAATTTCAAAACTTCCAAGGATACTTCCACTATTCCATCCACTATTCCACTATTCTTCAAATATTCGCGCTCGTCTTTTCGAATACTTCTCCTTGCTGCGAAAAGAAGAGAGCAACATGCGCCATGATTTTGTTTTTCCACGGTTCTGAATTTCCCAAGTATACCCTCCCAGAAACTAGCATGGAAACCCAAAAAGGGTCCTATAAAGACTACAGTCCCTTTAAAGGGGGGCTATATAGGTTTCCATGTTAGTTTGGGGGAGTGTAGTCAGTTTTCCTTTTGTCTTATAGTCTGTAGACCTTCAGTTCTCATTGTCTTGGTATCTTCAAGATTTCCACGATACAACGTTTGACAACTACATCTAACTATATATTATCACAACCCCCCTCATGCTCAAGACCCTAAATATTCCTGATGTTCTGAAAGATTCTAAACATGGCCACGTTTTCCCATATGTCGTATGTTTGATTTACTTCGTACTCATACGGTTCTTACTGTTCACATACCAAGCATGCCTCAGCAACAGCAACAATGCAACCCCAATTATGCGCAGTCCTTTCCTTCCACTAACAATACAACACGTCCCTCCAACAAAAAAAACAACAACCGTCCCAAAAAATTGCCCAATCATGTCCAAAATGCGTCCTAGCACCTTTCTTTTGCAAAAAGGTTCTGGTTCGTGGAATCCCCATTTCTAATCAGATTTCCTTTGGGAATTTGCACAAGTATCTACAGTGTTTATTTCATGCTTGAAAGGCCTTCTGGAAATAATGATAACCCAGGACATAAGGACAACCCTCATTCGGATTTTTTTTTTCGGGTTCTGTTCCGTACTTTTCCTTTTAAGCTGTATAGAAAACGACAATAACTTAGAAAGTAGAAGGAAACCTTATTTCAGGCAAAAGCTCCCCCAAATCCTTTTCTGACATACATCCTTTCATATGATAAGACCCAGGTACCAAACAAAGTCCTGATTGTGTAATGACTTCCCTCCTAGACCCTCCTCCTACCCTCTATTAGGGCTTAAGTACCCACTATTAGGGACCATATATCCCCAATTAAGGGTACAAGGAAGGTCCTGGTAGATAGGCAGTATCGTGGGCAGCCTT